ATGATCAGAGTGTTTAAATAGATAACTCACAGGCAGGTTGCAGGTATAGCAGCATAGTGTAGAACCAACAGATGGTCAATTATCTGTATAGCAGACTACTTAAATTAGACAATGACTAAAGTTGTACGTATGGCTTGTTGTACACTCATCATGTAACTGTAAACCTTAGGAAACTGTTTATGTGATAGTTCTGTAATAACAAACTAATAAAATCTAATCGGCTAAGGAAGTGGCCTTAATAACCAAAAAAAAAAAGACAATTAGTATCAGCACTATCTCAAAAATCAAAACTAGAAAGTATTTAAAGAAATCTTGAAAAGCTACTATAACTAACAAGAAAATAGTATAAAAAAAAACTATCTACACCTTTTCAAAATAAAGTATATTAAAAACCTACTTCTAATAGTTAATATATTAAATATCAAATGACTAGATCTATATAATAATAGTATATATAAAAGGTGTTTTAAAGAAACTGAAACAAATAAATACATACTTTGCTATAGAAAATCTAGTGAACAGATGAATAACATAGAAATAGAAGTATAGAAAAAAGTACAAACTAGTAAAAAATAGCAAGAAGAATAAAATCTCAAAAGACTACAATAAGAATTTTTAAGACTATTATAAAATGAAGAATATTTACAAAGAACTAAATAGCTTCATAGAATTTTAAACAAAAATAATGCTTTAAAGATTCAAGAAATAGTTAGTTCTAAAAAACAAATGCTTGATTTCTGATATATTTTTTGGAATACTTGAATAGAAAGTATTTATAAAGAAGTATGAACTGAGTGCTGTACTGAAATGAATAATTAGAAGAAGAAGAAAAAGATCTCAAAAAAAGATAAACAATTTAAAGTAAAAATCAACAGAACAATGAACAAAAAAAAAAGCAAAAAAGGCAAGATATTAGTACTGTTAAAAAAGAAAAGCAAAACAAAGTAAATGAAAATATAGAAAACTTTAGTATAGAATTTAATATTGTAATAGAAAGTATATTAAAGAAAGTAACAGAAAAAACAAAAAGTAGTTAGATATAAACAGTAACATGATAGGTTGTAACATCCTTTCTCTAAGTAATTTTTAGTCTCTAAATTTTTTTGACTAAAAGCAAAAAGATTAAAAGTTATTATAGCAAATTACATATAGGTACCAAAATAGTAACTAAGTAAGTTAGTACTTAGAAATTAGTTACTATTTATTTTTAATATTATATAGTAATATTTTAGCTATAAGCCAAAATTTGATTAAATAAAGTATTAGCATGATTGCTAAAGTTTAAAAAAAAATAATAAAGTAATAAAGTATATTAATATTAATATAAACTTTTAAAAATAAAAACTACTAAATTTGATTTTTAAAAAAATTTTAGTTGTATAACTTTTAAGACTTATATTTTAATAAATTTTAAAAGTATTTTAATAATTTAAATTTTAAAATAAACTTAAAATTTAATATATTTTTTAAAATTTAAATTATTAAAATAGCTTTAAAATTTATTGAATATAGATCTTAAAAGTTAAGTAATTAAATTTTTTTTAAAAGTTAAATTTAGTAGTTTTTATTTTTAAAAGCTTATATATATATATATTTAGTTATAGTTATATAGAATTAAACTAGTTTTAAAATAAAAATACTAAATTAATTTACTAGTTTAAAACTAGATTAAACTAGATTAAACTAAAACTAAATAAGATTATATATTTAATATTTCTAATTATAGCTAGTACTTACTAAATACAACTACTTAAAACTTATAAAAAAATTTGTATTTAAAAAGATTTTGTATTTAAAAAAAACAAAATCTTTATATTTTTATATAACTAAGACTAAAAATTAATTTGTATATATCAAGAGCTTTTAAACTTAAAAAGTTAACTATATCTTGTTTAAATTTAGCTAAAATCTAATTTATTTATATAAATTAGCAAACTTTATATAGTTTTATTAAATTTTTATAATAAAACTTATAACAAAAAAATATATAAATATAAGACTTATTATTATAGAAAAGTTATAACTAATTCTTTTCCAAAGTTAGCAAACTATATTTTAAAAATCTTATAAAATTTAAATCATATATCAATCTTTATTTGTTGTTTTTTTTTCTTTAAGACAAATTGAAATTTACTATTCACTATGCTCTATAACCTATTAATATTTCCACATAAGCTTTTAGTTAGAAAGAAAAAATATTTATAGTATGCTATTTACTATATATCAAATCTGATTACTTGACTAATAACTTTCACAAACTATAGCTACAATATGCTTCCAGTTCCTTTCTAACTATCTTAAAAACCTCGAAACAATATGCAAAAATACTAACCTGATTTTGAAAAAAAAGTTCACTCGAAAAACTAGTTTAATATACGTATATACTAAAAAAATAAAAACTATTAAAAGGTCTGGAAAATTGAATTTTAATCGGTTTTATACACGTTGTTGCTTATTCTAATTAACCGTAGACATTAGTCTCCGTCTGCAATGTCTTTCGGACAATTATTATTTTTATATTCCTATTATTAAATTTTCTATAGTATAAGTTTAAAAATTTTCAATTAAGACTAATTAAAGCCCTACACAAATTAATTAGACACTATAAATATGTTTTTTGTAAAAAGTCTTTAAGAAAATTACAACCTTTTTAACATGTAAGCTTTAAAGACATTTTATAAATTAATAATTTATAAAAAGTTCTATATACTTTTAAAGTTCGTAGTTATTCGATTAAGCTCCCACATTATTATGCTTCCGGCGGATGGAACATCAATAAACGGAGCATTTATTCCAACTCTCATTTCATTTTCAATTGATATTGCACATTCATTATCTCTCTTTCCTGATTTAAGATCTCTGCTTAGAAAAAGTGCAATTTTTGATGCTAATTTCAATTCTGATGAATCAGACGATTTACCATTCCAAAAAACTAAAGATGTTTTTATTATATCATCATTTTTCTCCGACTTTTCTGTGCTTGAAAAGATTCTATTATCAGATTTACAAAAAACCTGTGAAACTGTTTGAAGATTCGGTCCTGGTGGTTCTGCAACAAGCAATTTCAACTCATTTTCACATAAAAATTCGCGCAATTCATCAGAAGACCCATATATATATGGCCAAGTCAATGAATGAAACTTTGAAACTATTTGTGCAAAACTATTATAAACATCTCCACTTTTGTTGGTCAAATATATCCCATTCCATCCTAAAGCTTTGGCTGTGCGGATTAACATTCCTAAATCATGTGGATCATTCACTTTTTCAAGTACTAAAAATTTTTTCATTTGTTCTTTCG